TGCACTCCAGCCTGGGTAACAAGAGCGGAACTCTGTCTCAAAAAAAAAAAAAAAAAAAAAAAAAAAAGATGGGGGAATTCATAAGGGCACAGGAACCAGACTGAAGGAGCTCCTATAGGCTAAATCTGAGGCAATTTGAATACCAAAATTATTAAGTACAGTAATCAATTGTAAACCAATGAAAAATAGACATTTCTGAGTCTATACCAATATTAAGTAGATAAATTAATGAGGGAGAAGGGGAGGTCCTGCTTATAGCAGAATGCCAACACTGGTAAATGTGGAGGCAATGCTGTAGTTGAACAGTCATCATTTTGCAACTTCATGGTAAATTTAGGGGAGAAAATTTGATAAGGTACAGGATATTTGTACTGTCTTGTTTTTTAGAGACAGGGTCGAGCTATGTTGCCCAGGCTGGAGTGCAGTGGCTATTCACAGGAACGATCCCACTACTGATCAGCACAGAAGTTTTGACCTGCTCCGTTTCCGACCTGCTCTGTTTCCGACCTGGGCTGGTTCACCTCTCCTTAGGCAACCTTGTGATCTCTTGCTTCCGGGAGGTCACCATATTGATGCTGAACTAAGTGTGGACACCCAATTGGCATAGCACACTACAGCCCAGAACTCATGAGCTCAAGTGATCCTCCCACAACAGCCTCCCGAGGAGCTGGGACTACAGGCACATGCCACTGCACCTGGCTGTATTGTTTTAAAATGTCTCCCCACAGACTGCTTATAGTTACAAGGGAATAAAAAAGTAATTGTACAGTAGCTAAATCAAATTTAAGAAATCATAATTAACCAGCCAAGGGCAGGTAGACATTATGTGACTCAAGATGTGATACCTTGAGAAGGACACAATATCCCTCGAGTATTATTCAAGCCAAGAATGTATGACCTCAGTGGAATCATGAGATAACGTGAGCCAAATTTAATTTAAAATGAGAAACATCCTGGTTTTTTTTTTTTTTTTTTTTTTTTTGTGTCCCTTTTTTAGTTCCAGTTTTTGTTCTTCTCTGCCTTATCTGCCAACTCAAGCCTGGAACCTCTCCTGGGTTCTGCTAGGCAGATTGACTTCATCCTATTCCATGAACTTCAGATTTCTTGCATGCTCTTTTTGGCTGCCGGAAATTTGCTAAAATATTTATCCACTGATGGAAGCCCCTCTCCTTGTTCTTTGCTGTTATGAGTTTATGCTTTTTTCCCCTTTACTATTCTTTTTTTGTGAGGTGTCAGGAGGGAGGATATGTGCTTAATCAAACACCTTGAATAGAAAAATAATTGTACCTTTTTTTTCTTTTTTGAGACAAAATCTCACTCTGTTGCCCAGGCTGGAGTGCATTGGCATGGTCTCAGCTCACAGCCAATCTCTGCCTCCCGAGTTCAAGCGATTCTTCTGCCTCAGTCTCTTGAGTAGCTGGGATTACAGGTACCTGCCACTACGCCTGGCTAATTTTTGTATTTTTAGTAGAGACAGGGTTTCACCATGTTGGCCAGGGTGGTCTCGACCTCCTGACCTCAGGTGATCCACCCACCTTGGCCTCCCAAAGTTCTGGGATTACAGGCATGAGCCACTATGCCTGGCTTTTTAAAAATTATTATTTTATAGTGAGTATAATGATACTTTCTCTATTTATTTTTTTAGCAGAGGTTTCTGGTAGAACACCAATATCCATTCTCCTTCATTTGTAATTGACCCACTCCCCATTTTTATCTGGGCACAAGTCAAACTGGAATAACCCTAGCCTCTTATGCAACCAGATATGGCCATGTGATGAAGTTATCAATATGTGGGAGGGTCTCCTAGCAGCTGGAGCTGTTCTTAAGAAATATTAAAAGTATGCCTTTGTCCTCTTTGCTGCCTCTCCACCTTTCTGTCTGGACCATAGATTTCACTATCTTGGGCAATGAGGTTAGGGCTACATAAAAAGCTTCTGTTTCTGCCCTGGACCACTCATCTAGACTTTTATAGGGCAAAGAAATTTTCGTTATATTCAGTTTTCCTTCACTACAGCCAAACCATCCTAATACAACCTTAAAAGATAAGGGTAGAAGTGGTTTGTAAACTATCAAGGGGTACTCAAACGTCAGATATTATCATACCTTACTCCAGATTCGATTTTGAGGTCTGCCTCTGACCTGGCTACTTTTCAAAGAAAGCCCCTTTAAAATTTTTTATCCTCAACAGCTGGATTAGAGTAGAATAAAATACATTCATCTATTAAATAAATGATTTAAATAGTAATTAGTTCTTTAAAATAATTTCAAAACCACAAAACTAAAGAAAAAGTGTTAGAATATTTTCAGTACCCTAATCTCCCTAATAAGGAGCTTGTAAAAGTAGAAAAAACATGCCTAAAAGTCAGTAGGAAAAATCTTCCAAGCATATGAAACTGAAGACAAAAATGCAAATGGTGCTTAAATATATGAAAAGATACTCAATTTCACTGGCAACAAGTTAAATGCAAATGAAAAATCTAATATAATCAATGTAATTTCTCACCTATCAGATTAGCAAAAATCCAATAGTTTGACACTGTTCTCTGTTGGGAACAGAGAGAGGCTGTGAGAAAGCAGCCATCCTCATACACTGTTGGTTAGAATGCAAAATGGTACTTCTCGATGATGGGGAAATTTGGTCTATTTACCCAGGAATCCTACTCCTGGAAATCTATTCCACATATCAGACACATGTACAGGTTACCTATTACAACAATGCAATAGCAAAAGTTTGAAAACAGTCAAAATATTTATTAAAGGGAGATTGTTTAAATAAATCCCAGTATAACATACATATTATGCAGCAGTAAAGGAAAAATTGAAGCTCTCCAAATGCTAATATGGGCAAATTTCTATGATGTTTTCTACCTTGCATTTTTCAAATCTTCTCTTAATATTCAATGATTTCTTTGGCTAGGTAGAGGGAATGAGCCTTCCAGTCATGTAATTGCTTCAAACTTGGTCTTCCTTCAAGAGTGTAAGTCCAAAAGCTGATAACCCTTAAATAAAATAATGTAATTAAAACTGATAAAAATATGTGGTCCAAATACATGGGTGTATTACATATTAATATAAATATCTCATAAAATTCCATCATATGGACCCATGTCAACATTTTTGTTTATATCAGGTCAACCAGGCAAATTTCTCGAATGAAGGAGTTGGAAAGGCTGTGGATGTGGTGGTACCCAAAAGAGCCAGATATGAAAGAAGATAATGTCAGAGGCTCTGAGCTGCTCCTGATCTATTGATCTTTGCATAATTGTGTGTTTTTAATAAAAATAATTGTTACAAATTGTTTTGTGACTTCCTACTTTTATTTTTTTATTGTATTATGAGCATCATTCCATGTGATTAAATAGTCTTCTGAAGCATTTTTTATGTACCTAAATTAAATATTATGTTGTTTATTCCATATATTTTAGAACAATTTTTTTTGCTGAATATTTAGATGATTTCTATCTTTTAAAAATTATAAACTATACAGAGATCAATATCCCCATAGATAAATCCACATTCACAACTATGATTATTTCCTTAGGATAAATTTAAGCATATAATTACATAGATTTCTAGAAATGACCTGACAATGTCAAGGAATATACATGTTGAAGAGATTTTTTGATACATATTGCTCTGCCCAGCTGTGATGCAAAAGAAAAGGTGATTGTCAATTTATATACCTACCAGCTATGTATGGAGAGTATGTATTTTCCACATGTTTTCCCAGGACACAAATGCTCTTTCTCTGTAAATATTTGTAGCTTGATTTCTTTATCATATATGTACACATACTTACATGCACTTATGTGTATGATTGCATAACTAAAATTGTTCTTATGAAATATGCTTTATCTTACAAACAAAAATTAAATGAATTTGCAAACATATACTTCTGATGTGTCCACTTTTAAATGTAATTGTCTTCACTTTCCAGGTGCCTGCATGAACATCACCCATAGCCAGTGTCAAATGCTGCCCTACCACGCCACTCTGACACCTCTCCTCTCAGTTGTCAGAAACATGGAAGTGGAGAAGTTCCTCAAGTTTTTCACATATCTCCATCGCCTCAGTTGCTATCAACATATCATGCTGTTTGGCTGTAGCCTCGCCTTCCCCGAGTGCATCACTGATGGCGATGACAGGTATTTCATAACCCAAATCATTCAGTGATGAGTTGGTTATAGCAGAAGTGTCCTAGGGGGAAAAATTACCCAAACTACTCCCTTTCATTTTGGTTGTTTTTAAAGGAGTAAAATCCCCTACATTAGTCATAACCAGTTCTAATTCTTTGGAAATAGAAATGTTTTGAAAACCTGGAATAATTTTATTTATGGGAAAAATTATTCAGATTGTTAGATTGATGCTGTCAGGGATTCCATAATAGCTGTTCCAGTGAGAATCCAGGAGAAGACAGACAACACCACACTCAAAGGGGTGATAAGGGAGTTTCTTGAAGAGACTATTTATGGAGTTGTGGGCAGGGTTAAGAGAACAAATAAGAAATGGGAGGCACTAGGGTCTCATGATAGGGGGATGCAGTTCCACCAGCCAAGACTGGAAAAGAAATAATGGCCAGTAGCACCTAGAGAGAGTTGTATCTACGGGTAAAGGGTCTCGGACAGTTCAGGTGCTATGACCCTAGGCAGAGGAGTATGGCCACTGCCATTCCTTCAGTCTTGCAGTGTGAGAGAAGGAGGGATAAATACCCTGACCTCACTCTCCTCCCAGCCTCCCATCTTCCAGTGCCTCTCACCAAATGAACTCACCCACAACCAGAGGACAAGGGTGCATAATTCATGTGAGCATAGTGGATGAGATCCAGAATCTCAACTACATCTCATCAGCTCAAAAAGCCCAAATCTTATACTCTAAAGCAAGTATCAACCATACATAGATGTTGGGTGGTTCTTCTGCTCAACACTGGGAGGCACAGCAGGGCAAGAAGGGTAAAGAGTAGATACAAGGAGAAAGAAAGAGGCTATCCAGCACAATATCAAACAGGATCAGGTACAATTTCAATAAGTACGTCAATCAAAAGTATATCATGGGATTTTTGAAATACGAAGTATACACTTAAAACATTCAAAGCATATTCACATACATCAATTCACATAAAACATCAATGATTAACATTAACATAAATTTGTGAGAACTTGATTCCAACACTTGTGGATAAATTTGAGGAGTCAGGACTTCAGTGGAGAAAGTAATTGTAAAGGTCCTGAAAGTAGCAAGAGAATCAGAATTAAAAGTGGAGCCTAAAGATGTGACTAAATTGCTACAATGTCATGATCAAACTTGAATGGATGAGGAGTAGCTTTTTATGGATGAACAAAGAAAATGGTTTCTTGAGATGAAATCTATTCCTGGTGAAGATGCTATGAACATTATTGAAATGACAACAAAGATTTTGAATATTATCTAAACTTAGTTTGATAAAGCAGTAGCGGGATTTGAGGTTTAGATTTGCATTGCCCTGATGATTAGTGATGTTGAACATTTTAAAATATACCTGTTGGCTATTTATATGTCTTCTTTGAAAATTGTCTATTGAGGTTTTTTCTGCCCATTTTGTCATTAGGTGGTTTGTTTTCTTGCTACTGAGGTGTTTGGATTCCTTATGTATTTTGGATATTAACTAACCCTTTATCAGATGTATAGCTTGCAAATATTTTCTCCTATTCCATAGGCTGTCTCTTCATTTTTTTATTTCCTTTGCTGTGCAGAAATTATTAGTTTGATGAAATCTCATCTGTCTACTTTTGCTTTTGATGTTTGACCTTTTGGGGTCATTTCCCCAAAATAATTAACCAGACTATAGGTTTTCCCTATGTTTTCTTTTAGTAGTTTCATAGTTTGGAGGGTCACATTTAAGTCTTTAATCCATTTTGAATTCATTTTTGCATATCCTGTGTGGCAAGAGTCTAATTTTATTCCTCTGTAGGTTGATATGCAGTTTCCCTAAGACCATTTATTGACTGTCTTTTCTCCATTGCACGAAATAACTGTCCTTTCTCCACTGTGTGTTCTTGGCAACTTTGTCAAAAACCAGTTGGCTGTAAAGGCATGGATTTATTTCTTGGATCTCGATTCGATTCCATTGGTCTGTGAGACTGTTTTTATACCAATACCATACTGTTTCAGTTATTATGTGTATTATGCCAGTTTCACACTGCTATAAAGGACTGCATGAGATGGGTAATTTATAAGTGAAGGAGGTTTAATTGATTCACAGTTCTGCATGGCTGGGAAGGCCTCAGGAAACTATAATGGTAGAAGGTGAAGCAAACATGTCCTTCTTCACGCGATGGCAGGAAGGAGAAGTGCTGAGCAAAAGGAGGAAAAGTCCCTTATAAAACCATCAGATCTCATGAGAACTCACTTACTATCATGAGAACAGCAGCATGGGGGTAACTGCCCCAATGATTCAGATACTTCCCACAGGTCCCTCCTGTGACAAGTGCGGATTATGGGAACTGCAATTCAAGATGAGATTTGGGTGGGGACATAGCAAAACCATATCACAATGCTTTACAGTATATTTTGAGGTTAGGTAGTGTGATGCCTCCAGCTTTATTTATTTATTTTTTTTTGATCAAGCTTGCTTTGGCTAATTTATCTTTTGTGGTTCCATGCTAATATGGGGATTATTTTTTCTATTTCTGTGAAAAATGTCATTGGTATTTTGATAGGAATTGCATTGACTCTGTAGATCACTTTGGGTAGTATGGACATATTAACAATATGAATTCTTCCAATCAATGAACATGCCTATCTTTCTATTTGTGCCTTCTTCAATTTTTTTCAATGTTTATAATTTTTAGTGTAGAGATCTTTCACTTCCTTGATTAAATTTATTCTGAAGTTTTTTTTATAGCTATTGTAAGCAGGATTGTGTTTTTAAAATATATTTTTCAGATAGTTTGCTGTGTGTGTATAGAAGTCCTATTGATTTTTTGTTGTTGTTGATTTTGTAGCCTGCTACTTTAATGAATTTGTTTATAGATCTAACAGGGTGTGTGTGTGTGTGTGTGTGCGTGTCGCGCGCACGCGCGAGCATGCACGTGAAGTCTTTGGGATTTTCTTTAGGGTTTTCTATATGTGTAGGGTCATGTTGTCTGCAAACAGGGACAATTTAATATTTTTCTTTCCAATTTGGATGGCTTTTTCTTTCTCTTGCCTAATTGCTCTGACCAGAATTTCTAATGCTATATTGAATAAAAGTAATTAGATTGGGTATCCTTGTTTTATTTTGGATTTAAAGGAAACACTTTTAAAATTCAATAAACATGTACATTGAGTATGATGTTAGCTGTCAGTTTTTCACCTTTATTGTGTTGAAGTACTTTTCTTCTATACCTAATTTGTTGAGTTTTTTTTTTTTATCATGAATGAATCTTGAATTTTGTCAAATGCTTTTCTTGCATTTATTGTTGTGATCATATGTTTTTGTCCTTCATTCTGTGAAGGACAAATGTGATGTATCATGTTTATTTAATTGCTTATGTTCGGCCACATTTTCATACCTGTGATGAGTCACATTTGATCATGGTGAGTGTTTTTTTTTAATGTGTGTTTGAACTTTGTTTGATAGTATTTTGTTTAGGATTTTTGCATCTATGTTCATCAGGGATATTGGCCTGTAATTTTCTTTTTTTGTTGTGCTTTTATCTAGTTTTGGTGTCAGAGTAATGAGTTTGGAAGTATTCTCTCCTATTCAATTTTTTGGAAGAGTTTGAGAAGAGTTGGTATTAGCTCTTCTTTAAATGTTTCATAAAATTTAGCAGTGAAACTGTCAGGTCCTGGGGTTTACTTTGATGGGAGACTTTTTTTTTTTTAATGGCAGTTTTTAAAAACTTTTTAAATTATACTTTAAGTTCTGGAGTACATGTGCAGATTGTGCAGGTTTGTTACATAGATATACATGTGCTATGGTAGTGGCTTGCTGCATTCATTGCCCCATCATCTACATTAGGTATTTCTCCTAATGCTATCCCTCCCCAATCCCCCCACCTCCCAGACCCTAGTGTGTGATGTTTCCCTCCCTGTGTCCATGTGTTCTCATTGTTCAACACCCACTTATGAGTGAGAACAGGCAGTGTTTGGTTTTCTGTTCTTGTGTCAGTTTGCTGAGAATGATGGTTACCAGTTTCATCCAGGTCCCTGCAAAAGACAGGAACTCATCTTTTTTATGGCTGCATAGTATTCCATGGTATATGTGTGCCACATTTTCTTTATCCAGTCTATCATTGATGGGCATTTGGATTGGTTCCAAGTCTTTGCTATTGTGAACAGTGCCATAATAAACATACATGTGCATGCATCTTTATAACAGAATGATTTATAATCCTTTGGGTATATACCCAGTAATGGGATTGCTGGGTCAAATGGTATTTCTATTTCTAGATCCTTGAGGAATTGCCACACTGTCTTCCACAATGTTTGAATTAATTTACACTCCCACCAACAGTGTAAACGTATTCCTATTTCTCTACATCCTCTCCAGCATCTGTTTTCTCCTAATTTTTTAATGATTGCCATTCTAACTGGTGTGAGTTGATATCTCATTGTGGTTTTGATTTGCATTTCTCTAATGACCAGTGATGATGAGCTTTTTTTCATGTTTGTTGGCTGCATAAATGTCTTCTTTTGAAAAGTGTCTGTTCATATCCTTTGCCCACTTTTTGATGGGGCTGTTCTGTTCTGTTCTGTTCCATTGGTCTAGATCTCTGTTTTGGTACCAGTACCATGCTGTTTTGATTATAGTAGCCTTGTAATGTAGTTTGAAGTCAGGTAGTGTGATGCCTCCAGCTTTGCTTTTGTTTTTGTTTTGCTTAGGATTGTCTTGGCTATGCGGGCTCTTTTTTCGTTCCATATGAAGTTTAAGGTGGTTTTTTCCAATTCTGTGAAGAAAGTCATTGGTAGCTTTATGGGGATAGCATTGAATCTATAAATTACTTCTGACATTATGACCATTTTCACAATATTGATTCTTCCTAACCATGAGCATGGGATGTTTTTCCATCTGTTTTCATCCTCTCTTATTTCCTTGAGCAGTGGTTTGTAGTTCTCCTTGAAGAGGTCCTTCACATCCCTTGTTAGTTGTATTCCTAGGTATTTTATTCTCTTTGTTGCAATTGTG